ACGACCACCCCCCCCCTCGCGTGACGACCCCCCCCCCCCCGCCCCCCCCTCGGCGTGACGACCCCCCCCCCGGCGTGACGACCCCCCCCCCCTCGGCGTGACGACCCCCCCCCCCTCGGCGTGACGACCCCCCCCCCCCCCGGCGTGACGACCCCCCCCCCCCCTCGGCGTGACGACCCCCCCCCCCCTCGGCGTGACGACCCCCCCCCCCCCTCGGCGTGACGACCCCCCCCCCCTCGGCGTGACGACCCCCCCCCCTCGGCGTGACGACCCCCCCCCCCCCCTCGGCGTGACGACCCCCCCCCCCCTCGGCGTGACGACCCCCCCCCCCCTCGGCGTGACGACCCCCCCCCCCCCCTCGGCGTGACGACCCCCCCCCCCCTCGGCGTGACGACCCCCCCCCCCCCCCTCGGCGTGACGACCCCCCCCCCTCGGCGTGACGACCCCCCCCCCCTCGGCGTGACGACCCCCCCCCCCCTCGGCGTGACGACCCCCCCCCCCTCGGCGTGACGACCCCCCCCCCCCCCCTCGGCGTGACGACCCCCCCCCCCCCTCGGCGTGACGACCCCCCCCCCCTCGGCGTGACACCCCCCCCTCGGCGTGACGACCCCCCCCCCCTCGGCGTGACGACCCCCCCCCTCGGCGTGACGACCCCCCCCCCCTCGGCGTGACGTGCCCCCCCCCCAGAGCCCCCTGTCCGTCCCCCCGGCCCGACCAACCCCACCTCCGCACAAAACCCAGCCATCACCCCTGCCAGCAATCAAACGTCTGTTTGTAGCCCAAAGAAGCCCAAACTAGCCCAAACACTCATCTGCCACAGCAGTGGGTGGTGGTTGTAGGGTTAGGGTCAGCTTTTGTGACTGTGTAAAAAAAAACCTTCTTTGAAGGGCGGGTGGGACGTGTTTTGCAGGTTTAAATTTTAAAAAATATTAGTTGGGGTGGGTTTTTGCTTTTATTGTGCGTGGGAAAAAAAGTAAAAAAAAAAGTTTAAGCCTGCAAATTGTTTCCTCTCCCCCTCCCCCCCCCTCCATTTCTTTTGGGCTAGTGTTTCGTGGACTTTGGGCTACAAACGGATTACATTTTTGGCAGCCCTGGTGCCTGAGGGTGGACGGAAGGTGTTCTGTGCCAGCCAATATCCTGCCTGGCCACGTGTCGGCCAGTTCCTGGTCGGCCAGTTCCTGGTCGGCCGGTTCCTCAGCCAGCCTGGTTCATTGGCAGGACCTGGAAGGGCAGACCCGTCACTGGGGGAAGGGAATCCTCCCACTCAGTTCATGCCGTGGGAAATCTTGCCCGACAGCAATATAAATGGCAAGATTTACGGTTTTAGCTGGTTAGACTCCAGCGCACACTCTGGGGTCCCCAAGCTTTGGCTCTTGCCAACCTGTGCCTAATACCTTCCAGAATTAGGTAAGCAGGATGCGTCCCTCCAGGGAGAGAGTGCGCCTTCCACTAGTGTTGAACCTGAATACGTGTGTTTGGAGCTGTAAGTGCAAATTTTGCTTTGATCTCTCTCTATCAGGTACAAAATGGGGAAGGATTATTATAAAATCCTGGGAATTCAGAAAGGAGCGTCAGAAGACGAGATTAAGAAGGCGTATCGAAAGCAAGCCCTGAAATACCACCCTGACAAAAACAAGGCTCCGGACGCAGAGGACAAGTTCAAGGAAATTGCGGAGGCTTATGACGTGTTGAGCGACCCCAAGAAAAAGGATATTTACGATCAGTATGGAGAGGAAGGTAGGAGAAGAGGGGGCTGATGCCACAATTCAGCAGCTGATTGTGCTGTTTGAATCGGCCGTAGTGTTTCCAGAACATTCTGCTCTTCAATAGAAAACACTACAGCTGATTCAAACGGCACGCTTTAATAATACTGCCGAGGAAGGTCTCGCTGTGGCTTAATCCTCGAATATTTTGAACACAGGTGCCATGTGTTTTACACACGCTGCTTTCCTCCCAGAGAATGGAAAGTCCTTCATTGTATTCACATTATTGCTCGTCTCCTCTCCCTTCCAGACCGCAGTTTGACTGCATCCAGTTGTCTCTCAGTAGCTGCTCTTTTGCTGGCGTTCCGCGCTCTTAACCTAAAATGTAGAAAGTGAAGTGGATTTCGGTTCAGGCGCAGCCAAAACTCCCCAGGTCTCGCCGGTCTCCCCAGGCCCACTGTCCACAAAATCCAGCTAATCCAAAACTCCGCCGCCCGCGTACTCGACCGCACTAATCTCCGCACCCCCATCACACCAGTGCATCTTTCTTTAACATTGGTTCCAAAAGCTGCACGAGGGGAACCGGCTGACATGTGCCATAGTGAAGTTTGGGGTGTGTCACCCATATTAAACTCTGTACCCCATCACACCAGTTCTAGTCAGGCTCCTCTGGGTCCCTATCTCGGAGCGGATGGATTTGCGGATCTCACTCATCTTCAAATCCCATCTTGCCCTGGCACCACCCCACCTCTCCGACTTGCTTACTCTGCAACCCGCTGCCTCCGCTCCGCAACCCGCTGCCTCCGCTCCGCTCGCTGGCTCTGGCCTCCTGCTTGTCCCTCGCGCCCTCCGTTCCAGCAATGGTGACGGCTTTTCGCCACTATGCGCTCTGAAACACTCCCTCTCTCCCGCTGCCTTGCCGCTTCTCCATCTTCTGGTTGTGCTCAGCAACTGTCGAGCGCTCCGGGACGTTGCCCTGCTTGAGGGGCGCTCTGCAAATGCAAGTTGTTGTTGGATTTAGAGCGGGATCCTGGAGGAGCTGTTCAACAAAAGGCTTGCATTTTGTAGAACTTTCCCCATCATTTACTTTGCTTTATAATGTGAGGAGTTTACAAAGTGATATTCTAACGAAACAGAACTATTGTCCAGAAAACGTCATCCATGGAGTTTTCAGCTAACTTCCTATTTTATCTGTTAATGCAAATTTTCTCATTTTGATTCCAAATTATTTACTCCCGGCTGTGGCATCGCATATCTAGCTTTGGACCATTTTGCCAGAACCCTTAGTAATTTTTTCTCTTCTCATAGCGGCTTTGACAGAGGGATGCTTCAACAGCCTCTGGCTGAGTGATAGACCATTATCTTATGCAGAGTATGTCAGCCGACTGCCCTCCCCATGTGCCTTTACATGTCATAAGAGATGACACTTGGCTACTAGTTAGGAATTGGAATACCTGCTGCTTTATTTCCCTTTTTCCTTCCCTATTTTTGTCCGTGTCAGACATATTATTGGGGATGCAGTTGATTTATGCCCTTTAGGATCTTGTATCTTATTCACTGGGCAAGAAATCATCCCATTCAGCCCTGTAAGCCAAAGTCATGATGGGTAGGGCAGTCCTAACTGGACAAGCAATGGGAAAACTTGCTCTTGTTGACAAAGTATGCGGTTTTAATAATCATCCTTGCATTTGATACAGCGCCTTATCACACCTTTAAGATGTCTCAAAGTGCTTCAAAGAATATACTGTAAAGTGAATTGACTGTATTTTGTGTGCGAAACCCGGCAGCTAATTGTGACCTTATTATTATTATTATTGTTATATTTGAAGGGATTAAAAGTTTTAGCTGGTTAGACTCCAGCAGTTACCCCAATATACACTCTGGGATTCTCAAACCTTGGCTCTTGCCAACCTGCGGCTAATGCTTTCCAGAATTAGGTAAACAGGATGTGTTTGGAAACTCCTTAATATGATGATAGGTTTCCGCATGTGTCAGACACCTAGCTGGTCAAAAAAAATTATATCTTATTCACACCACAAACTGACTGCTGGTCCTCGCTATTGCACGAGACTGCTTTGTGGCACCAAACTGAGGCCATGGGAATGAATCCAGCTGAGCTATGACTCCGCTTCACCCCCTCCCCCACAGCTAAATAGCTTTCTGACATTGTGTTCAAGCTCAAACATGAAGGTTGTCTCTTCGTCAAGGAATTGGAAGGTGCCCAGTGCTGTGAAACCGGTTAGAGCCAACTGTGGAACATTTTTTCCAAAATATAATAAAGTTTTAAACGTTGACCCTGAAAGTTAAACTATCGTAACTGGTTAACAAAAACCTGGTTTGTGGTCCAATTTGTGTATTCGTCATTTGAAGTCCTTGTGATTTCAGAAATTAAACACAGCTAAATTAAAGTCTGAGAATTAAAGTGACCTTTTTGTCCCCTGTCTGCTCAGAATTGTTTAAAAACACAAGTTTGTGGGGCATCGTTGTTGGAGGGGCCGACCTTCAAATGTTGAGATTAAACCGAGCGCCTGTCCAGGTGGATGTTAAAAATTGCGCGTCACTGTTCGAAAAGTTAAAGGAGTTCCCCTTCACATGGCCAACAATCCCCCAAATAAACTTTGGTCTTTCACTTCATGGATGTTTGTGGGACATTGCTATGTGTAAATTGGTTGCCGTGTTCGCCCATAAAACACGCAATCATTGCACTTTACAGTTTATCCTGTGAAGCGTGTTGGGACGTTGTCCTGATGTGAAGGGCACTGTATCAAGTATTATTGTTATTAAGTGATTTTTAAGTATTATTATGTATGTTTTTTAAGTATTATTAAGCATTGTGATTATTTCAGGATTGAAAGGAAGTGCAGGCGGTGGAGTTCCCAATGGCAGCAGCTTCCAGTACACGTTCCATGGTGACCCTCACGCAATGTTTGCTGAATTCTTTGGTGGGAGAAACCCCTTTGACATGTTTTTTGGACAAAGAAATGGTGACGATGACATGGATATGGATGATGATCCTCTAAGCTCGTTTGGTGGATTCTCCTCGATGGGGGGCATTCCTGGCATGCAAGGCATGGCTGGCATGCAAGGCATGGGTGGCATGCCCAGCTTCCAGCGCACTCATTCGGCTAAGAAACAGGACCCCCCGGTGTTGCACGAGCTGAAGGTTTCCCTGGAAGAGATATTTACAGGCTGTACCAAGAAAATGAAAATCCGTCGGAAAAGGTTGAGCCTCGACAGACGGACCTCCAGGATTGAAGATACAATCCTGACCATCGAAATCAAGAAAGGCTGGAAGGAAGGAACAAAGATCACATTCCCAAAGGAAGGGGACGAAACGCCAAACAACATTCCAGCCGACATCGTTTTCGTCCTGAAGGACAAGCCACACCCGGTCTACAAGAGGGATGGCTCTGATATCATCTACTCAACCAAGATCAGCCTCCGCGAGGTAAGGCTGTGTGTGGGTGGGGGGTGGGCATTTATGTGCGTGTACGCTGAGCCACAGAGACCTATATTTGTTACCTGGTTGTGAGTTAACCTAGAGGAGGGTGGCACTGCCCTAGGTTATTTTTATATTCTGCCCACCATTATAGTGATCAGGATTTATCTGCTGATTGCTATAATGGTGGCCAGTACTTGTGAGGGTGTTAGAGGATAGGATGAGCTATGATGCACTTCACTCTGAGGTTCAATATTATTTATTAATATTACATTTTCTCTTTTAGATCCCCTAAAAATTTAGCTACTAAGACTCCCTGTCAGACGGTTGTTTAATCAGGCTGCTTCCTGGCAAAGTTTTCCCTGCACAGGGCTTTTATAACGAGGAGGAAAGAGTTGGTGTAATATTGGATTACCTCTGCTGGTAGTTTAATAATCTACAAATTCAACTGAGCACCTCGAGGAACTAAATGTCCCTACGGTCACACAGAGTTTGTAAAGGAGTCATTCACAGTGATTAATTAGTGATACGTTAAGTCTGAGCACTTTAGTGCATCAGCCTGGCTCAGTTAGTAGCTTCTGAATCAGAAGGTTGTGGATTCAAGCCCCAACGCCAGGACTTGGACATAGTCTAAGATGACTGGGATTGGTGGCTGCATTATTGGCGGTGCCGTCCTTCAGATGAGATGCTAAACTGAGACCTCATCCGTGTGTCCAGGTGGCCACGTTAAACATCCCATGGCACGATTCAAAAAGAGAAGGGAGTTTCTCTCTCCTCTCTCTCTCTCCTGGTGTCCTGGCCAACAATGTCCCAGATATAATTGGTCATTCATTTCATGGCTGTTTCTGGGACTTTGCTGTGTGCGAAATTGGCTATGCCGTGTTCACCCATAACACACAGACACTTTACAGTAAATCCTGTGAAATGCTTGTGACACTTCCTCCAGATGGGAAAGGTGCCAAACCAAATGTAACGATCGTTATAATTATCATTACCTTGTATATTTAGAAAGATTTACAAATAATAATAATAATAATCCTTGCCTTTGATATCGCGCTTTCCACGTATTCTAGACATCTCGAAGCGCTTCACAGAATATGCTGTAAAGTGAATTGACCGCATAAGCGCGGCAGCCAATTGCCACAGCAGTGTCCCACAAACAGTCGTGGATTGAAAATGACCAATTTTTTTATTATCGTCTTTTGTTTTGGAGGGATTACCATTAAGCTTGTGGAGTAAGGAAACTTGCCCAAACAAACAAACAAACAAGGACTGTGCAGCAGCGAAACAGGCCACTTGTTCCAACCAGTCCGTGCCGGCGTTTATACTCCACACAGGTTTTCACCCATTGCTCCCTCCTTCCCATATCTTTCTATTCCCCTCTCAACTCATGTGAAGATCTCGCTTCCGCTTGAGTGTATCTACGCCATCTGATTCAACCGCCTCTTCAGGCATCGAGTGCCACAATCTGACTACCCTCCACATGAAGCAGTTTCTCCTAAGTTCTTTTTTTTTTTAGTTCCCCTAAAGATGGAGCTGTGCTGTCGCTCAGCTTGCTTCCTGCCCTGCCATGTTTCTTCCTGTCACGGTCATGTTCACACAAACACCCTTAAAAGAGATATTGCAAGCCCCTTGTGAGTCTGTGCCGTGCTGTGTGTGACATTGGTTTGTGGTAGAAGGGTAACGCCGGCCTGGAGTAAAGGAAGCTGCAGTTTGTAATACTGGTTTGGAGTAGAAGTGACATAATGCTGACTTATAGCTAAAATAGTTTGCTCTTCTCAGTTTTGAGTCTTGCTTTAACTAACAACCTGCGTGAGTTTGCTGAGATAACTAGAATGTTTTCGCTTAACACTTAGCGTGCGCCTCATTTAGATTAAATGTACTTCGTGTGCGATATACTGAGCCTCGCAAACCATCAGGAAAGGCCCAACTTCAAATATACACCCCCCCCCCACCCCAAAATCTGTGTTAGACAGAATGTAAAATTGACCCCACATTCCCTATCCCCTGTGCTTCTAACAGAATGGTCTGCTGATGCTCTCCATTCAGTCTCATGTTAAAAGCATTTGAGGAAGGTACGTTTGCCTCCAGAATAGTCAATAAATAATACAGCGCATTGTGACCTGAACCCCCGTTATTCCTTGGAATAAAGTTAATAAAGTGCGTTTCAATTTTGTTTCCTTTTTTGAACTCGGAGATCGAGCGCTCTGGGACGCTACCCCGCACGAGAGGCGCTATATGAATGCAAGTTTTTGTTGAATTTTTGTAGCTTTTTTTCAGTCCCATAGACTGAGAGCGCTGTGAGAACGGATTTGTTTGGATGTTGTGAAACTCTTCGCTGTGCCTGGTCTGCTTTCTAATCCGTCTTTCTGTCTGTCTGTCTGTCTGTCTGCCTCTAGGCACTGTGCGGCTGCACTGTGATTGTCCCCACATTGGATCATCGAAACATTCCAGTGGCCTTTAAGGATGTCGTCCAGCCAGGCACGAAGCGGAGGATATCGGGAGAGGGCCTGCCGTTGCCCAAACAACCGGACCGGCGCGGTGATTTGGTGTTGGAGGTGGCAGTGCGATTCCCAGATAATTTGTCACAGGCAACAAAAGAGAAACTCAAGGAGCTGTTGCCCCTGTAATCGCTACAGGGTGGGAATCTTTTGGGGAGGGAGGGAGGGAAGGATGAAATATAAATTGTATTGTAGTTGACTAACTGCCAGATGGTGCCCTTCGGGGGAGGACCAGCACAGACTTGCATTATTATCATTAAGCAAGTTGCTTAATGTACTTTTATACAGAAGCTTTACAGAATTGCCAGCTCTTGAGATTCAGTACATGCAGATCGCACTCAGGTCACTCCAGTACAGTACTGACTGACTCTTTGTTCCAAATTTTTATGTTCTGTCCTTCAGTGTAAATACTGCGACTATTTGTAACCAAAAATAATGCACAGTATACAAAGAATTTGGCAATTCTATTCAAATATGGCGTCTCTGTAACGTGGGCTGTTACCTCATTGTTCAAATGACAAATAAAACCCTAGGCTTGAATTATATGGACTGTAGATTTGCACGTATAATAATGCGCGCAAATTGGCTGCCGCATTCACTTACAAATACGCAGTCACTACACTTCACTGTAAAATCCTGTGAAAGAAGCACTGTGAGATGTCCTAATGATGTGATAAGGTGCAAGGATTATTATTGTAGACTCGCGTGATCTGCTAACTCCACGTCGACCCGTCTGCTCTCTCGGTGGGCTCTGGCCTGCTCCACTTCCTCCCACCTGGCCTGCCTCGCTATCGGCAGTTAGCTCCCACCCTCAGGAACTCCATTCCACAGTCCCTCTGCCTCACCCCCTCCCTTGTCCCCTTCACGGCACGTCTAAAGATCCTCTTCTGCCGCACCTTCGGCCACCCTCCTAGCCCTACCCTCCCTGCCCTCCACCCCTCCTGATCCCAACCTCCTGCTCGGGTCCAAACCCCAGACTGTCCAGCGCCTTGGGTTGTCCTCACAAAGTGAAAGGCGTTGTGTAAATGTCATTTGCGGTTGTTGGAACCGATAAACTGCTGTGTTGGATGACCAGCAGGAGCTGGAACGAAGGCCAAGATCTTCTATGACTGACATTGGAACTTCTCGTTTCTTTGGGAAGAAGAGAAAGTTTAGGTTGGCTGGAGATAGTGAGATTTGTGTTCAATCTGAGGCTAGGATGGGCAGCCACACACCTTACTACAGACTGACTGACAATATCATTTTACAGATGTGACGAGGTGGGGTCTCTCCTGTCTCAAGAGCTTCCTCTTTAACTGCCTTCGGACATCCTTCATGGAGTCCTGTAGCTCAGTGGTTAGATCACTCGCCTCGCAAACGAGAGACCTGGGTTTGATTGGGATCAGGAGGGATATCGGTTCCAAGGGTGAAATGTTGGGCAAGTTTCCTTACTCCACACACCTGTTTATCTAGCAGTATGTAGGAACCCAGTTGTTAGTCGATGGGTGGATCGCTTTTCCAGGGATAATAATTCCTTCAAAAACCTTTCCTCGGTTGTTTGAAGCCTGAAGATTTCTTAGGTAGATAGTTAGAGATCCAATTTAGGCTTGGCTTTTATATGATATTGGGCTCCTCTCCTGTACCCACATGGCTCCATCTCAAACTTGAAACGCATCCCAGTTTGGCGTCCTTCATAATTCTCAAAACCAGCCTCCGACTAGGAGTCCCCTGAATAAATGGTTTGGTGGTTTCTGTGCCGGGAGCTAGATGTGTTTGGCCCCTGAGCTCAAGACCTCCCAAAGGTTGCTTTAGACAGGGAACTTACTTTGGTTTTGGTATTTTTAGGAGCGCTGAAGCAACATAGCACTGGCATCTGGGAGGAACAACAACAACTTGGCCGTAGACAGACCGGTAAAAATGGGCAGACATGTGGCAGATGAAGTTTAATGTGGAGAGATGCATTTTGGTAGGAAGAATGAGGAGAGGCGATATAAGGTGATGGTAGAATCTTAAAGGGGGTTAACGAACAGGGAGACCTGGGGGTTCATATAAGTCACTCTTCGAAGGTGGTAGGACAGGTAGATAAAGCTGTTTAAAAAAAGCATACGGGATACTGGGCTTTATAAATAGGGGCATAAAATACAAAAGTCAGGAAGTTATGATGAACTTTTATAAAACACTGGTGAGGCCTCAGCTGGAGACTCTGTTCAGTTCCGGGCAAAACACTTTAGGAAGGATGTCAAGGCAATGGAAAGGGTGCAAAAGAGATTTACCAGGGTGGTACCGGTTATGAGGAGAGGCCAGAGAAGCTGGGGTTATTCTCCTCGGAGCAGGGAAGGTTAAGGGGAGATTTAATAAGAGGTGTTCAAAATTATGAGAAGGGTTCGATGGGATGAGCAGAGAGAAACTTTCCATTGGCGGGTGGGTTGGTAACCAGAGCGCACCGATTTAAAATAGTTGCCAAAAGAACTAGAGGGGAGGTGAGGAGAAATGCCGATTCGATAACAACTTTCAAAAGAGAATTGGATGAGATATTTGGGGAGGACAAATTTGCAGGGCTATGGGGAGAGAGCGGGGGAGTGGGACTATTTTGGATAGTTGCTTCAAAGAGCTGGCACAGACGTGCCGGGCCGAATGGCCTCCTTCTGTGCCGCGTGATTCTATGATATCTTTTAACATATTCCGTTTCATACTTGTGTCAAAACACATTCCTAGAACATCACGCACACCAGCTCAGTGTGGGAGTGTGTGATCTGGGTCAATGCATACCATGCCTCGGGCTGCTATTGAAATAATAAATTATTGTTAAATGATGTTGCAATGATTTCCTGGTCGACCACGAACATGAAGGCAGCCGATAGAAGAAGGCTGAACTGCAGAGCGCCCGTCGTTGACAAAAACTCCTTCAGAGAGAATTCCAAAGCTCACGGCAGCAGTGTGGGGGGGGGGGGGTCCTGGCAAGGACTGGGGTGATGGGCTGTACAGAGCTTTGTGGAGGTGAGGACACGGGCAGCGGAGGTTTGAATCAACTGGATTTTATGAATGGTGGAACTAGGAGGTCCGTGTGAAGCGTCTCCCAACGCACTACCCCGTGTAACGGGTGCTGCGTCAATGCAGGTTATCGTACATCGAAATGCAAGGATTATATTCTAATAAATAATAGAACATGCCAACGACACATACTTTGGGATTGTTGCTGCGACGAGTTGTGATTGACTGATGGAATCCAGACCTGTGGTTGGGACCCACCTTTGTGAAACAATGAAGGTGCGTTTGACTGAAACACTAATCTCCCTCCATCAATAGCTTTGCTGAATCAGATGGTTATCGCTTGCATCAGTCTGTGGTGAGCTGTCACACTGCTTTTCTGGATGTTTCTATCCAATTCCACCCATGTTCCCTCCAGGGGACACGATTATAATGCAAGGATTATTATTATTATATTATCCTGCGAAGCACTTGAGATCTCCTCCCTACGTGAAAAACATTATTATTAATTAGTAATATAGAAAAGTCACGAAACTTCCAGCCTCAGTCACAGGGAGAGAGGGCTGAGTGCAAGTCAGCAGCTGCTCAATATAATAATAATATAATAATCCTTGCATTTAATATAGCACCTTATCACGTCATTCAGACACCTCAAGTGCTACACAGAATTGTAAAGTAGGTTGACTCTATTTTGTGGGTGAAACACGGCAGCCAATTGCACGCAGCAGTGTCCCACAACACACAGTCATTGATTAAATGACCCAATTTTTTTTTTGAGGGATTACTAACCCCCGGAAAGCGATCCGCCAATCGACCAACAACCGGGTTCCTACTTACTAGCAAGCGGAGGCAGAGGCGTTTACGGAAACTTGCCTAACATTTCTCCCTGCTCGCTCGGAAATCAAAACTAGGTCACTTGCGAGGAGAGTGCTGTAAGCACTGAGAGCTGCGGGACTCCCCGTATTTATCTGGGGAAGCAGTTTGATCCTGTGTTGACGGAGGACGACGGGGTGGGTGTCCTGGAAGGGTGGGATCGGATGGGTCGAGCAACCTTTTTCATCCAGATTCATCTTGTATTGTTGGGACAATAGCACAAGGCGCGACTCCCTTTCCCCTTTCAGAGAGTGCCATGGAGTCCTGTGGCTCAGTGGTTAGAACACTCGCCTTTCAAGCGAGAGGACCTGGGTTTGACTCCCGGGCAGGTCAGGGCGAGACGTTGGGCAAGTTTCCTTACTCCACACGCCTCTGTTTACTCAGCAGTAAGCAGGAACCTGGTTGTTAATCGATTGGTGAGTCACTATTCTGGGGATAACAGCGCCTTTTAAACAAAAATAATAATTTGGTCACTCAATCCACGACTGTTTGGGGGGGGGAACGGTGCCGTGCGCAACCGGCTGTGTTAGTGCCAACTTTAGGAGTCCTGTAGCTCAGTGGTTAGAGCACTCGCTTTGCAAGTGAGAGACCTGAGTTCAATTCCAGGCAGAGGGCGAAACTTCGGGCAAGTTTCCTTACTCCACACAGAGCCTAATAATAATCCCTCCAAAACCAAAACAATAATAAATTGGTCATTTTCAATCCACGGCTGTTTGTGGGGACACCGCTGTGCGCAATTGGCTGCCGCGTTCGCCCACAAATATACAGTCAATTCACTTTACGGTGTGTTCCGTGAAGCGCTCTGGGACGTCTGGAAGACGTGAAAAGCGCGATGTCAAACGCCAGGATTGTTATTATTATTAACTCTCTGTGTTATCGCCGTTCTTGCTGCGTAGCGATACGCCGGAAGCGCGAGAGCCTTTTCTCTGGGTGTGGTGACTGCGAATGTTAACACAGCCGTTGAGTCAGGTGATGAACAGGATCCTCTGGTTTGGCAGCTGGTGTACAGTATTGCTTAATCTCTGCCATCCACGTCTTAACGTCGTGCGCCACGCCCTGTCTTGACACCCGGCAGCCAATTGCGTGCGGCAGTGTCCCGCTGACGCCCGTGGGTTGAAGTGAACAAATTACTATTTACTTTGGAGGGGTTACTACCCTTTGGTGGAAAAGCGATAATAATAATAATAATAACAACAACAACAACAATAATAATCCTGGCATTGGACCCCGGCGCTTTTTCACGCCTTCTCAAAGCGCTTCACGGAATAGACCGTCGCGGGAGTTTGACCGTATGTTTCGTGGGTGGGACGCGGCGGCCAAATTGCGCGCAGCAGCGTGTCCCCCCTCCCTCCCCCCCCCCACCGCCCCCCGCCCCACACACGCAAACAGTCGCGGTGACCAAACTATTATCGCTTTTCTTTCTTGAGGGGTTATTATCAGCGGAGCGGGAGCGCGCGCGGGGCGAGGAAGCTTGGCCGAGCTTTGCCCCCCTCTCCCCCCCCACCCCAAACCCCGGCCGGGCATCGAACCCGGGTCTCTCGCTTGCGCGGCCACTGCTCTGACCACTGAGCCACAGGACTCCACCTGTCAGCCTTCCTCTGCACTGATACACATCTGGCCCCGCCCCCCCGGACACAGGGCCCCGCCCCCCGGACACAGGGCCCCGCCCCCGGACACAGACCCCGCCCCCTTCCACACACACACACACACACCCTGACACAGGCTCCTCCTCCGGACACTGACCCGCCCCCTCCCCAGCATTCGGCCCCGCCCACCCCTTTGTCCCCACTGTCGGTCAGCGCTCTCCTGGACACGCCCCCCACCCGCCCTTATTTGGCTCGCTGGCTCCGGATTGGCTGATTGCTCCATCCCCCCGCCCCACCCCCCCCCCGTGTAAAATCGCCTCCGCGCGGTTTGGAGGCGGGTTTTACGCCCGATTGGGCGGGAATTACACGGTTTGGGGCGGGGAGGGGGGGGGTGTGTGGAACACGTTTGGGCGTGGGTTTGGGCTATTTTGGGGGTTTCAGGCGGGATTCGGGCTCTTTTGAGGTGGCTGGCGCGGGTCGGGGTGGGGATGGAGGTGCGTCGGGCTCTTTCGAGGCCCGGTGTTGGGCTACTTCCAAGCGGATCGGGGGCTACTTGGAGGCGGGCGTTCTCCTTCGTAACGTGGTGTGGGCTATCGGGGTGGGCTATTTGGAGGCGGTTTTGGGCTATTCAAGGCGGGGCGGCGGCGGTTGGGGCTACACTATTTGAATGCCGGCCGCCCCGCCCCCTTCCCTGGGCGGCGGTTACCGGGAGCGTCGCCACCACCACCACCGCCGTCGTCGTCGTCGGGACCCAGACGGACGGAGAGGCCGCGGCGGCGGTGAGGGGGCGGACATGCCGCTGGGACTGAGCCGCAAGAAGAAGGCGGCGGCGGCCACGGCGGCCACGGCGGCGCTGGTGGACAACGAGGAGGCGGAGAGCGAGATGGGGGGCCCGGGGCTCGGGGGCCCGGGGCTCGGGGGGCCGGGGGGCCCCGGGCCGGGGGGAGGCCTCAGGCCGCGCCTGGCCTTCCACACGCAGTTGGCCCACGGCAGCCCCACCGGGCGGGTCGAGGGCTTCGGGAACGTGCGCGAACTGTACGGCCGCATCGCCCAGGCCTTCAGCATCGACACTGACCAGGTGAGGGGGAAAGGGGGGGGGGGGAGGGGGGGGGGGTAGAGAGGTGAGGAGAGAGGGGAGGGTGAGGGGAGGGAGTGAGGAGGGGTTGAGGGGTGGTGAGGGGGGGGGGGGGGAGAGGAGGGGGGGTGAGAGAGGGAGGGAGGTGAGAGGAGGGGAGTGAGGGAGGGGGGAGAGAGGGAGGGGGAGAGGGAGTGAGGGAGGGGAGTGAGGGGAGGGGTGAGGAGGGAGGGGTGAGAGAGGGAGGGAGTGAGAGAGGGAGGGAGTGAGGAGGGTGAGAGAGGAGGGGGAGTGAGGGGAGGGGTGAGGGGGAGAGAGAGGGAAGGGTGAGAGTGATGG